CAGGCTACTCTTGGTAAAGGATGTAATGAAATATTTATGTGGTGGAGTATTTATCTTTCCTATGGGAAGGCACATGCTTTATCTTTAGCATTTCTAAACAAACAACACCACCAAAACCTCCAGTTTTGAATAGGTTGTTTTTTCTTCTGAAGGAAATTAATTACAGGCTATTTAATGTTTATTATTTTATAGTAATTGTTCATTTTCATACAGTACTCTGTATTGTCCTAAAAACACTCTTATCTTCATAGGACTGCTCTACATTATGCCTGTGTATATGGCCATCCAGAAGTGGCGAAGCTCCTTATAGAGTGGGAGTGTGAGATTGATGCATGCGACAGTGACAATTGCACACCTCTCATTAAGGTATATAGCAGTGAATGATTCTAACATCAGCTGGATTGGTTTAAATGAGAAGGAAATGAATTTAACTCAGTTAAATATGTTTGATTGCTGAAATGTGTGAGCTGTTTGTCTGCAATCACTTATATCTACCATCTATCTTTTGATGTATTATCACAGGCCTCACAGTATCAGTGTGAGCAGTGTGTGGAGATTCTTCTAAAGCACGGTGCCAATCCTAACGCTATGGATGAGAAGGGCTATACTGCTCTCCATTATAGTGTGCATACTGAAAACACAGCAATAGCTGCCAAATTGATGAAACACAATGCCAGCCTTACAGCAAGAACCAAGGTATAAATGGCCTAACTTTATTTCCAAGATACGTGAAGTATATATATTTTAATAGTGATATGTCAGTCCATTTCCCACATGGAAAAGCTCAAACTTCTCTGAATGGTTGGCATTAGCTTAATTACAAAAGACTTTGCTTTAAATATTGAGACTTTCAAGAAATTGCATAGAGTACAATTTTCTTCTATTCATGAATAGAAACCATTTCAGAAAGCACTAAGTTTTTTAAAGTAAACCTTTTTTCTAAATGTATTTTCTAAATGATTTTTTAATTAGTGGAAAATAAGCACAGAAAATAAAATCTGCTTTGGAAATGGTTTTAACGTTCCAATAAAACAGTTGCTCTGCAGATCAATCATGTTGTCAACAAGTAATAATGAAGTCTCACAGACTTCATTCAGTTCAGACCCCTGAACTGAATATGGACCAGGAACAACAGAAAAAGGAATATAATCACAAACATGTGGGATAATTGTAAAAATTTGAAAACACATTCAAAAGGCAACAGCTTTTAATTTTTTAATGTTGTCTTCTCTTTTTAGAATACCATTTTTTAGATTTGGATAAATTATTAAGTTACAAACATGCTTAGGATCATTTTTAGATGGACTCAGGAAACGAGACCAGCAGTAACGAGATGATGAAAAGCAGAAGATGATATAATTCATCTGTATATTATTCTGTACTGTTAGAAGAGCCATTTTCATGAGTCTGAACTCTACTCTCTAATATTTAATCTCTTCCTAAGAGAAGAGAAATATTTTATCTGGAAGTTGCTTGTTGAACTGTCTGCTGCCTGCTCTTCTCCTACCAGAAAATTATCATAGTACTTTCACGAAGTCACTCTCTTTTCTCCTTTGGGTAAAGTTCCCAAATGACCAAAAGAATTGTTATGGATAAGAAATGACATCTACATGTTGCTTGTCTACTTTTCAGTTTCTCCACTAGGTTGCCCATCAGAATCGTACATAGAAGTATTTTGAAAAATGTCAAGTCTCAGCTTCCTTTGGCTGTTTAACTCAGCAAATATAGTAAGACCTGGACATCAATAGATAAAAATGTTTCCATGAGAGTTTGATTCAACTCATATAAGAATCATTGTTAAAAAAATGTGTAAATTCTTTGTTCTCATACACTGTAATACGTCTCTAGAAAAGCCATAGTTTGATTAGATATTACTTTCATCCAATATCTCCTTTTCAATAGTGTTACCTACCTTTTACCTGTCTTTCTCAACCTCAGTGCTAAGGACCTTTCTGTAGGCCATATCTATTGGCTAACAGAAGTATACTATTTTTTCCCAGCTATTTGTCATTTAGTATGATTAAGAAGGACTTTAGAACTTGCACTGTTGGTAAGTCTTTATTTTATTTTATTTTTGTGCTGGTCTTGGGGCTTGAACTCCAGTCCTGGGCACTCTACTTGAGTTTTTTATCCCCTCAAGTCTAGTGGCTCTACAATTTGAAGCACAGCTCTACTTCCAGCATTTTTGGTGATTAATTGGAGATAACTGTCTCAGGTACAAGCTTCTCAGGCTGGCTTCAAAACTCAATGCTCAGATATCAGCCTCCTGGGTAGCTAATATTACAGCAGCACCTGTGAACCAGGAGCACCTGACTGGTTATTTATTTATTTGCCAGTCCTGGGGCTTGAACTCAGAGCCTGAGCATGGTTCCTGAGCTTTTTTTGCTCAAAGCTAGCACTTTCCCACTTGAGCCACTGTGCTATTTCCAGCTTTTTCTGTTTATGTGGCACTGTGGAATCAAACCCAGAGCTTCATGCATGCTAGGCAAGCACTCTACCACTAAGCCACCTTCCCAGCCCCTGGTCATCTTTTAATACATTGAATCTGGCAGCTTAAGGATCTCATGTCTCTTTATTGCTATTCTCTCTCATCAGATGAACAAATGTAAGTTACAAGCTTGTTTTTCTTTAAGAAAATGGTAGCACGTCATGAGCCTTTTTTCATGAAGGAATTGTTTAGCTAACTTCAATGTCTTTGTAACATTCAGAGAGCCCTGACATCATCAGATACCATTATTTTTGGTGATGCAGGAGTTTGAATTCAAGACTTTATGCTTGCTGGAAGATGCTTTATTACTTGAGCCATGCTTCTAATCATTTTGTTCTGATTATATTTTAGACAGTCTCTCTTTATATCCAGGACTGTAATCCTCCTACTTTATGCTTCCTATTATTGTTAAGATTATAGAGGCATGTCACCATATTTAGTTTTTAGCTCTTGAAATCTTGTGATGGGCTGGGAAGGTGGCTCTGTGGTAGAGTGCATGCCTTGCATTCATGAGGCCCTGGGTTCAATTCTTCAGCACCACATAAGCAGAAAAAGCCAGAAGTGGCGCTATGGCTCAAGTGGTAGAGCACTAGCCTTGAGCTGGGGAACAGGGGACAGTGCCCAGGCCCAGAGTTCAGGCCCCATCACTGTCCAAAAAAAAAAAAATCTTGTATAATTTTTTCTGGGCTAGCCTGGAACAGTGATCTTCCTGATTTCAGCTTGTAACACAGCAGAAATGACATGTGCCACTGTATATAGCTATAGATTAAGATGGAGTCTGGGTAAAATTTATGCCAAGGCTTCTATTATCTTTAATTTTCTAATGTCAGTTTTTTGAGTAGCTTATGTTACAAGTGTTTCACTATATCCTGCAGCCTGGCAACGCTAAATCCTGAAAACTATTCAGTTAGTAAGAAGTGTGATAGAAATCATTTCAGTAATTTACCTCCAAGCATCCTATGGCATCTAATTATTTTAACAATGTGGTTAATTAAATACATGTTATATAAATTAATATATCTTTGGGAAATTATTGAACAAGATATTTTATATCTCTTATATTATGCATTGTGCCCTAATATTTTGGTAAAATATGATATTAATGATAGAAAAGATTCCACATACAAATACTTGTTTTGTATAGAACTATTTGGAGACACCATGGAAATAACAACAAAAAGTTTAAATATAGCCCATATATAAGACTTACAATTTGCTTCCAGAAATTAAATCCACATTTAAATTTATGGTGATTCTTGCAGAAACTTGAATGTTAAGTGGCTGTTCGACAATTGCATTCAGTTTCTATGAGTTCTTATGGTATAGAGACACTAGAGGTTTACAAGGCCCATGCTTTTGTATTTCTTCTGTTACCCATTTTCTTCCAAATACCTTAAAGTAAACAATACCTTTTAATACATATAAGTTAGTAATATAAATTATATATTATTCCCTAAGAGGTTTAGAAGTTAAAAGTTGGTGTTATAATGTCTTTCAAATTCCATATTTTGAAGAAACATATTCTCATTAGAATATCTATAAGCCTTATAATATTATTCATGGTTATAATTGTGTTATACCTTAGCAATGCCAGTGAGCTAGTGTCTAAGTGAAAGGTCATATAAATCAGTATTAGAAATTTTATTGATGAAGCACCATGTCTTCTTTTCTGATATATATGTTACATGCTTAATAAGTTAGGTAGTAACTAAACTGGAACTAGAATAAAACTTAGAATTTTCAGTATGAAGTACTAATAATGATAATATTATCATTATAAGTGAAAACATTTACTGAGCTTTATAACAGCTATAATAACAATCTTTTACAGTAATAAGAAATCAAATTATTTGAATTTCATATCTTTTAATATGAGCCCACGTGCTTAGTGATCCATTGGTAGCAGAAGCAGGTAAAGTTGGAATGTTAGAATGTGATAAATAAATAAATAAATGACAACCACATAGGTTTCTTCCATGACTGGTGAAATCTTCATGTTATTGGATAACTCTCAACACTGTGTTGATGAAGCTTCTTTTCTCAAATGTAAATGGTTGTCACCGAAATTATTTTCAATTAGAAATTAACAAAGTTACTGAGATTTCATTAATACTGGCTATATAATGCAAAGTTTTGTAGTATTTCTGAAACAGCACCACAGAATCCTTCTACAGTTCATGATAGTTCAGGGAAAGAATACTTTTTTCTCACTATAGACTGAGAAATCTTTCTTTCCAGGAAATATTATATTAGTTAAATTTGTATATGTTAGACCTTGGATCAATAGTGATAATATATACACACTTGCATTGGGAAAGAATACCTGTTGACATGGGAGTTATCAATAGACTCCACAAATACCATTATAAATTCTGTGATAAAAGTAGAGATTTTTTTAAGGAAACAATATTTAAATGAAATGGGTGGGGATTTTTAGCTTTTACATCAACTTTATTCTCAGATCCAATCTGTGTGAGTTAACAAACCCCACATTGCCAACTATTGTAGGAATCACATTCCTTTTATATGTACCAAATCTCATACTCAGCAATGAGTTCTGGGGTGCAAAAGAGGATTTATTTCTTTCACTTGTCTGTAAGTCTTTGCTACAAGTTAAACAAAGACTTACACACAAGTGCTACTGAAATGGGTTTTGGAGAGGACTGGTGTGGCAAGTGAGCGTGGGGGTGGAGGAGTTGTGGGATTTCAAATGGATGGGTTAGCACCTGTGAAAATGCAGAGCGAGCATGACTTGAGAAGCCAGACAGATTCCCGTGAGTTGTTGTCTAAATTATATGTATGTGGTTCTAATATGATTTTCAGGTCAATGGAAAAAAAAATACATGTTTTTGTGAGTCATACATTTCCCACCCACACAGGCCGGCTTTACACCACTTTCACTTGCTGTAAATGAAAATAAAGAGGCGATGGCAAAATTGCTTGGAAATGGGGAAGAAAATACGTATGCAACAGGTTTCATCAATAGGTATAGTTATTTATGTTTTTTTAAAGTATATTATTTTTGAAACCTGAATGATATTCTGGATTGGTGGCAATTACCCAAGTTGGAATTACCACATTGACGTTTCTATCATCATTAACTAATCTTATAGAAATATAATGAAAGTATTAGCCTAAATGATCAGTTAGGTAGCAAAGCAATTATTCAGATTAATCAACACAAACAACATTATACATTAGAATTTCTATTTCCTTTTAATAATAACTGGACTTAATTATTTGTATTCACATTATGCTAGCCATATTGTCTTGTATTACTTAAATGAGTTTCATAATAATATTATTTTTTTAATGAAGCATGGATTTTTAGTTTAGTTTTTTTGATAGACAATAAAAGGCTTAATAATTATATAAATTTTCACCTTTGTTTCTTCTGTTGTCTTTAAAATTACTTCTTTATAAATTATTTTCTTTATATTTTGGAACTAGTGGTTTTAACTCAGGACCTCATGCTTGCTAGATTGCCACGCCAACACTTGAGCTACATTTCCATCCTTTATTCTTTAGTTAGTTTTCAAGTAGAATTTTGCCCTTTTTCCCTAGCTGGCCTGTACTTCAATTCTCCATGCCCAGAATTTTTATTGCAGTGGGATCTTAAAAACTTTTTACCTTGGCTAGCCTCAAACCTTGATGTTCCTGATTGCTGTCTCCTGAGTAGCTGTGGCTTTAGATATGCACCTGGCCCCAATAGTTGGCTTTAAAGTTCATTTTGTCTCTCAGCATATGCATTGGGAAACAATCAGCCTCAGTTCAATAAATCTTTTCTTTAATGGAGATTAATCATAGGTGTGTGACGAAGGGAAGGATTTAGATTTGCACCAGGCCCATCATACCCTGTGTAGCAAAATTTTATAGATTGTATGAATGTTATCTTTCCTCAGGTGGATGCCAGCTTTCAATTATTCAGCTGAGTCATTAGTTATTCTCAGTAAGGCTGCTTCATTGTCTCAAATATTTTCCAATTCTGCCTCAAAAAGGAGCCATTTAACAGAATTTTTGAAAAGTAAAGTAGAAATTTTAGATTTCAGGAGAGAAACTGTTAAACCCGTATATCTCAAACAAGGGTTTGTCTTCCAGGAACCATTGAATCAATGATCTGGTACTTACAGAGAGGTCTTGAAATGTAACTGATTTTCACACCTTGGTGTAGTTAGTTCAAAATCGTAGGACATTTTCATTAATTAATTGGACAACATATTAATTAAAACAGTTATAAATCATTAAATAGTTTATTTGCTTTGGATTGCAAGACACAAAGAATAGAGCAAAGAGTAACTAAAATAATAAATCAGATATAAAATCTTAAATTTTAGAGGACTTTTAGCCTAAAAGAAATTACTATCCAGTAACAAAAAGCTATGTATTATACAGCTAGAACTTCTCTAGAGTCCTAATTTAAGAGACTTTCTAGTATTTTCTCGTAATCTAGTTAATTTACTGAGCTGAATCCCTCTACTAATAACCATTTCCCTATTATTTCTTCTTCAATTACAAATTTAATAAAAGTTTTTAGAGTCCACAATTTTGAAGCACATGAGAAAAAAATCTGGAATTAGTTCTGAATATTCTTTAGAATGAGTATCTTTGGTACACAATTTTAATATCAATTTAAAATAGTAATTTTATTTCTAACTTTAAATATTCACAGCAATAAGGAAAGGCTAAAAGAATATGAGGAGAAGACACTTCAAACTGCCTCATGCAGGAGTCAAGGTAAGATTTCTGATAATGGATTATTTTAGATAGTCTTCCCTTAGATTTAAAAAAAAAAACAATAAGAATAAAAACTTTTGATTCCAAGTGAATAAAGAAATGAAATATAAATTGCATTAATATAATTTTAAATTTATCCCCTAATGGGCTAGAATTTCAGTATTACTTAAGAATTTACTAATAAGAAATTTATTATTTGATTTGCATTTCTTTTATGGCCAGAGAAGTTGAGCATTTCTTCATGTGTCTATTGGCCATTCTTTTTTTTTTTTTTGTATATATATTTATTGTAAAGGTGATTAACAGCCCGTGGGTTACAGTTACAAAAAGAAAAGGTAATAAGTACATTACTTGTCGAACATTGTTACCCCTTCATTTGTTGTAATCCCACTATGCCTTCCCTCCCCCACCTCCTGTACTCCTCCCCACCCCACTCCACCCGAAGTTGTAAAATTTGATTCCAATATACTGTCCTGTGGGTATTGTTGTTGCAATGGGTCATTTTTATTTCCTCTTCAGAGAAGTCTCTGTTTATGTCTTTAGACCGCTTATTAATGGCATAGTGTTTGAGGATATGTTTTGGGGGGATTTAATTTTTTTGAGTTCTAAGTATATTTTAGATATGAGGCCCTTGTCTGTTGTATGGCTAGTGAAGATCTCCCAATTTGTGGGTTTTCTATTGGCATTGCTTGCTATGTCCCTTGCCATGCAGAAGCTCTGAAGTTTCATGCAATCCCATTTATCCAACCTTTCTTTGATTTGTTGTGTTTTTGGGTCTTTATTAAGAAAATTTTGGCCTGTGCTAAGAAGCCCTAGAGTTTCTCCTATGATACTCACAAGTCACTATGTTGGAACTGACCTTTACAACTTAGAGGGGATGGGAGGGGAAGAGAGAAGAGAGATAGTAGAAGAAAAACAAAGGAGCAGGTAACAATGCTTGATAGGAAATGTACTCATCACCTTACTCATGTAACTAATCCCTCTGTACAGCATCTTTACAATAAAATAATTTTTTTAAGAACTATCGCTTTAATCCACCTTCTTCTTTTGGTGTTTACTTTTTGCATTATATATATATATATATATATATATATATATTCTAAATATTTGTTACTTTTCCCAAGATTAGTTCCTTGTTTCAAGACCGGTTTCTTTTCTGGAGTATGACCTTTCATTTGGTAATGATTTCCTTTGCTATGGAGAGTTTTAAATTGAATGTAATATCATCTGTCAATTCTTGCTATTATTTTTGTAACCTTTGGAGATATATTTAGAATGGCACATCTATGCCTATATCTTGAAGTGTGTTCCATAGGTTTTCTTATAGTCTTTTCAAAGTTTCAGGTCATATGTTCAAGTCTTTCTTCTATTTTGAATTGCATTTTGTACAAAGTGCAAATTAAAGATCCAGGCTTGTACATGTGGATCTTCAATTTTCCAAGCACTCACTTGAAGTGAATATTTTTATTTCTAGCATATGTTTTTGCTAATTTTGTTGAGAATCAACATTTTCTGAAAACAAACCAATGCGGCTACATGGCCTTATTTCTGGGCCATCTGTTGGACCCCATGGTTCTCTGTGCCTGGCTTCTATCAGGCTGTGTTTGGTACTATGTCTCTGTAGAATAGTGTGAAATCTTGAATTGTGGTACCTTCAGCATTGTTACTTTTGCTCAAAATTGCTTTGTCTTTTGGGACCATTTTATTATTTTATATAAATTTATATTATTTTATATAAATTTATGTTATTTCAATTTCAGTGAAAAATATAGTTGGAATTTCATTGGGCACTGCATTGAATCTGTAGTTCACTTTGATAGTATACCAATTAACCATGAAGATGAGAGAGCTTTTCATATCCCTTCTTCATTTTCTCTCTTCAGTATTTTATATTTTTCATTATAAAAGTCTAATAGCTTTATTCTTTGGTATCTTCTTTTAGGGTTTTTTGAATAATACTGTTTTCCTTTTTTCCTTCTCAGTTTGTATGTAATTTGCACATAGAAAAGCTACTGCCTTTTTTTTTTTTTTTTTTTTGGTCGGTATGGAACTTGAACTCTAGGCCTGGGTGCTATCTCTCAGCTCTTCAGCTCAAGGCTAGCACTCTACCACTTGAGACACAGACACAGTGCCACTTCCGGTTTTCTGGTGGTTAATTGGAGGTAAGAGTCTCATGGATGTTCCTGCCTGGTCTGGCTTTAAACTGTGATCCTCAGATCTCAGCCTCCTGAGTAGTTAGGATTACATGTATGAGCTACCAATGCCTGGCTTGAATTTTTAAATTTAATTTTATTGTAACATAATGTACAGAGTGGCTACAGTTACATACATAAGGTAGTGAGTACATTTCTTATTGAACATTGTTACCTCCTCCCTCCTTTTTCTCCCAGCTACTGATTTTTATGTTGATTTAATATATTGCTAGTTTACTGTGTTTATCTGTTATAAAAGAGTGTATTGCTGAGGTCTTATGGTCTTTTAAATTAGGTCTTACAATCTACAAATAAAATAATTTAAATTCTTCCTTTCCTCTTTCTATCCTTTTATTTTTCTTGTATTATTCTCTGGTAAGAATTTAAGCACTGTATTGAGTGAGAGGGAGAGAGTAGACACTTGCCTTATTCCTACATGTAGAATAAATTCTTCTTCTTTACCCTGTTCAGTGTAATGCTAAGTAATTCTGCCGTAGATAGCCATTATTATGTTGATATTATGACTGATCCTTGAGTTCCAGTTTCTTAAGAACTTCTATTGTCATGAAAGGAGGTTGAATTGTATTAAAGTCTTTCCTGCATTGAGATACATATTTGATTTTTGTCTTTGATTCTATTTTTGTACAATGTTATGTTTATTGTTTTGAACATGTTGGGTCATACTTTCATCCCTAGGGTAAATCTAACTTAATT